TACTGGTATTGCCAACACCATGCGGGCCGACTTTACTCCCCATATTTCCTAGTTCACACGGGTTGCGTCGATATGAAAGAAATCATGAGGTTCTTTCCCCCAGAACTTTGTACTGGAAAGTCAATGGGGGAAAAACTGTTCTATCACAGCTCCATCGTACCTGTGCCGTGTGAACAGGGAGATCTCGCCTTCCTTAGATGCCAGGAAGTTTCCCTACCTGTCTTGCGGCAATGTTTTCGTGAGAATCTGTGAGAATATCACCTGCTTTAAAAAAAATGTCTATCAAACGCACAGGTAGGTGGGTAGAAATATTTATAAAATAGTCCAGACTGACTGGATTTTTCATTGTGCTGACTCAGTTTGGCGAATTTTATACAAAAAATTCTTATCTGGAATGTCGTTTAGCCATTTGTTTAATTTCTTCACCCCTTTCAATTTTTTACAGTTCTCATCCCCACCTCTGAGTTCTTATTTCTTTTTTAATGCTTTGAATCGAGAAATGTGCTAACGATGGCGGGCTATGCCACATTCATAATGGAATGAAGATACACACACATGACTTTCAATAACATATAGATGATCATGTGCAAAATATCATTGTTGGTAATTTTTTTCTTTCCGTTAGCCTCGTCTACGTCTTCCCAAGGCAGGTCAGGTTAAGCTTTCATAATCAATATATATCTTAAGACAATTCTTAAGGGTTACACAGAACTAATTCAACTGTATGACATAAAATAAGCAGAGTCGTTGTAGAACACGTTGTTTTCACCCTGGGGCAGTTGAGGTGTATGGTTTTAGCTACATATATATCTGCCATAATTATTTCTTAGTGTCTTCCTACAAGCTGGAAGTAACAATAGCACAGTAGTTAGTGCTACTTCTGACACAGTTGATTGCCCGGCTCTCTAGCGTAGTTGGCTAAACCGGATTTCGCGGAGACCGGGTGACGAACTCCTTGTGGTCCGGGTTCAATCCCGGGGGTAGACAGGAAAGCCACATTTCTCCCAGATTTACGGTATTTACAGTATTTACAATGGAATCAAGGCCGAAAGGTTGCGATATCCATAATACCGAGCCTAAGAGTTAACAACTGATGGCTTCTGGATACTAAAAAAAAAAAAAAGACACAGTTGACTAGCACTGACGGCTCTCCTGTCAAATCCGGACGAAGAATAAACAGCCGTGGACGAGTTAGTCAGAGTTCTCTCCCTTGGCCGCACTCCGAACAGTAATCGGAAAACAAACGAAATAAACGACACAGTTACCTATCATCCTGCGGTTGCGTGTAGGGCTGCGTACGGTTTCGTGAGGCATTGTGAATGGTTGTGTAGTCATCATCATGCGGTTGTTGGGTTAGAGTTAGGGGTAGGGTTAGGGGTAGGGTTAGGGTTAGGGTTAGGGTTAGGGTTAGGGTTAGGGGTAGTGTTAGGGTTAGGGTTAGATGTGAAAATTTTGACGTAGGATTTCGACATACTGGCCGACAATCAGATGTTTGTGGGAGTGGCGCCACTGAAACTCTGCCAAATATGACGCCAATAGCGTGCGGCTGGTGCCCCCAATCGTTGGCGAATTGTGCGTTTGATTAGCATCCAGAGGCCCTCGATTGTTTGTGTGTGTATGGGACTGTGCGCGATTATATGGAACTCCGGCGTCAAAATTGTCAAATATAACGCTAAACTTAACCCTACCGCTAACCCTAATCCTAATTCTACTCCCTAGCCCTAACCCCTACCCCTAACCACGCAAATTTATCGATCATTAAAGCATACAAATCGGCAAAAACCAACAAACAAAACACACCCAAAAAAAAAAAACCAGATTTGTCCTGCAGCGTCGAAAAATACCCAGATCTGGGGGAAACAACCAAGCATTGGCAGCCCTGATGTCGACGTCACTGTCTTCTTTGTTTCGTTGTGGCTTTTCCGATCACTGTTTGGAGTGCGGCCACGGGAGAGAACTCTGACTAAGTCGTCCAAGGCTTTTTAGTCTTCGTCCGGATTTGACAGGAGTACCCAAATACATATTGTTTACAATCATCCCTGTATATTCTCACTGAATATTCAACCTGATAAAAGCTTAGAAACGTAGCCTTAAATATGTCAATTTCTTTGCGTTTATTATTTAAACGGTAGGGTGTTCAGAAAGCCAGAAAAAAACTACTAAACTAAGAAATAGATTAGTGAAAACTACACAACAGGCAATAGATCGTAGGGATGGTTTGCGACTCCCTGACGATAGATATAGGTGTATAGGTGGTAGATAGTGAGATATGTTCGTCAGTAACAATAACAGCTGCCATATGCTGACGATATAGTTTTGAAAATGAAACACAACTGCAAGAAGTTCAGGATATAATTGTAACGGAACTTGAAAACAGGGATCTTAGTTTAAACAGCAGAAAAACCGACTTAATGGTCATTACAAAGAAAACTGACCTCACAAAATGCAACATCAATGTAAATTAGACAAACCTCTAGCAAGTTGATATGTTTGACGACTGACTGACTGACTTTCTACCCCACTAGGACATCACACAAGCGATAAATACCCGATGACACAAAGTGCCACCATGTGGATGAGGATCATCGTGGAGAGGTCCCAGAAACCGCGTTCAGACAATTCGCCATAATTATGGCCTGCCTATTTTGCGGCCCCTGGCAAAAGCCAGGGTGGGGCTTCGATTAAAAAAATTCATCCTAAAAAGGAAGTAAAGATTAATAGTTGATATGTTTAAGTACTTAGGTATTCTGAAAACATCAGACCAAAGATGTATTAAGGAAGTTAAATGTCGAATAGCTCAAGCAAAAGCAGCATTTTACAAAATGAAAAATATTTTTTTTTATGCAATCTTTCTTTGTCAAGTGAGAAGAGAAAGATAATTCTTAAAAGTTAAATAAATTCTATTTTGATATACGGATGTGAACCATGGACAGTTGGTAAATTAATGAAAGCTTATTTGGAAGCTGCGGAGATGTGGTTTTATAGACAAATGATGGGAATACCCTGGACGGATAAAAAGAGATAAATGAAGACGTATTGAAGGAAACTGACTCACAAAAAGAACTTATTGTCCACATCAGAAAGAGACAATCTTTATTTTTTGGTCATGTGATGAGAAGAAGAACACTGGAGTACATCGTAACGGTAGGAAAGTTGGAAAAGGGGGAGGGGAGAGGCGGAGAAAGATCGAGAGAACAGATGCTGGACAGTTTGACATCATGGCATAGAAGATCATCTGTGTCAGATTTGATTGAAAGTACAGGCGACAGAAGGTTGTGGATAGACGAGACTACCACCGGTACATGGCATGGAAGATCATCTGTGTCAGATTTGATTGAAAGTACAGGCGACAGAAAGTTGTGGATAGACGAGACTACCACCGGTACATGGCATGGAAGATCATCTGTGTCAGATTTGATTGAAAGTACAGGCGACAGAAAGTTGTGGATAGACGAGACTACCACCGGTACATGGCATGAAGATCATCTGTGTCAGATTTGATTAAAAATACAGGCGACAGAAGGTTGTGGATAGACTAGACTACCACCGGCACAAGGCATGGACTATTAGGAAAAAGAATAGTAACAAACTTATTTCCAAAGCATCCATGGGTGTCTTGCTAATGGAAAAGCTCATTAAGGGCATCTATACATGTCTGGTTACTACTAGATAACATTTATAACATTACTTTGACTTGTGTACAGTGAATACAGTATATATGTCTCCATTCCAGTATGTTCTGAAAGAGATTCAGACCAAACTGATTATGATGTTTGTTTGCGAGCAGCTGTGAAAGAGATTCAGACCAAACTGATTATGATGTTTGTTTGCGAGCAGCTGTGAAAGAGATTTAGACCAAACTGATTATGATGTTTGTTTGCGAGCAGCTGTAAAAGAGATTCAGACCAAACTGATTATGATGTTTGTTTGCGAGCAGCTGTAAAAGAGATTCAGACCAAACTGATTATGATGTTTGTTTGCGAGCAGCTGTAATATGTTAGCTGCCTAATTTCACGGGGTCGGCGTCTGTGGCTTAAGCGTTACGAACACGGTTTGAAGCTCCAAGGTACCCGGTTCGATTCCAGCTGCGGAAGATTTGGAGTTGACCTCTTGCTTTGATCTTGACATTGGGACTGAGAGCTTACTATTAAAAAAGCAACGGCACACTGCTGATGGTCAAATTGCCTAGTAAAATTACAAACACCCAAAAAAGTTCCGGGCAACAAACTTAAAAGTTCATCCAAAAAAAAAAAAAAAACAGTGATTAAAATCAAACTGTACTGGATGATCTAACTGTGCCTAAATCTTCTGTTATCAATGGTTACAGTAATTAAATCTCAAGTCAGCAAATGTTATCAATGGTTACAGTAGTTAAATCTCTAGTCAGCAAATGTTATCAATGGTTACAGTAGTTAAATCTCTAGTCAGCAAATGTTATCAATGGTTACAGTATTTAAATCTCTAGTCAGCAAATGTTATCAATGGTTACAGTAATTAAATCTCTAGTCAGCAAATGTTATCAATGGTTACAGTAATTTTATCTCTAGTCTGCAAATGTTATCAATGGTTACAGTAATTAAATCTGTAGTCAGCAAATGTTATCAATGGTTACAGTAATTAAATCTCTAGTCAGCAAATGTTATCAATGGTTACAGTAATTTTATCTCTAGTCTGCAAATGTTATTAATGGTTACAGTAATTAAATCTCTAGTCAGCAATTGTTATCAATGGTTACAGTAATTAAATCTGTAGTCGGCAAAACACATTCTTAATCAGTTATGAAGCACATTCACTTGTAGACAAATCAGAGCAACTTATCTCTGTTGTAAATTTGAAAAATAAGACGCATGACGTATTTTTGAAGAGGGATTCATTTCCTTGCTTTCATGTTTAGGTCTTTGATACCCATCTGATGAGACACATCTAAATATCGTAGGCAATAAATTGTATGATTTGTTGTTTGCAAATTTGTTGAAACAGATAAACAGTCACTTACTTACCAAATAATCGCGGCAAATATCAGACACAGAAAGAGAACCATCTTAAAACTCATTTTTGGCCACTGCTTCCTGTTGTCATGTGAATTGCCCATATTCCAGTTGCACGATTTTATCCTAAAATGCAAAGCAAAAGAATTATTTTAATTCAGAAATTTCAATGAAGTTTGGAGGCACCTATTTTAATATGAACTATGATGGTCTATACATCAGGGTACACAACATGGTATTATGGCAAACATAATGTTTTCTATTACTAACACTAGTAGTACAACTACTACTAGTTGTATTTAATTATGTTTAGACACATACAAGTATTAAAATACAAAATATTAAAGTATATTTCAGAATGAAATGTTGTGTTGCGTCGAGCGGATCTACTTAAAATTACCGCGGCGCAGCTATTTTTTAAATTGACATCTCGATCATCTTCTGTAAAGCGGTATGTGCAACAAAAGTAGCTTTTCTCATGATCTGAACCTTATACGGCTACTTTTATGAAGCTTTAATAGCGTCGGCCCTGACTGAAGGATATATTAAACAACATTTTAACAAACTACAGAAAGTACAATTTCTAAAGATGGCCTCACTTTGTCGAGAAAAAAAAAGGGGGGGGGTGGGAGGTGTGGGTTCATATCGTAAATCTAGTAAGACAACAGCAATGTACAGTTCTTTATAACATAAAGGCAACAATGAGATCTGAACGCACCCTCTAAGAAAAATTAGGAACAAGCGTAGCCAATGACAGCTTACTTTTTAATTATCTTCCCATGTCGGTGTAAAAGTTGCTTTAGAAGCTGCTTAATGAGGAATCTAACACGTTTGCCTCCATCTGTGTGCCATTCAAGATTACTGGTGGAATGCTGGGAGCTAATTTCTGATAGTCTATGACCTTAAGGAGAATGTGAACGCTGGCCTCCAACATGCTCACATGCTCAGTCTGACACTATAAGAAAGCGACAAGCTCACGTTTCAGATCCACACTTCGTATTACAAGTCTTTCAGCACCGACCCGCACTTTAAGTTTAGAACGTCTGTGGTCACCGTGGAAACTGCTAGAAAATCCGTGTAGCATATTCACGGTTACCGTGTTTGTTTTTTGTTGTCATTAATGAAACCCAAGGCCTCCCGCTACTTCTTCAGCTGGTGGAATCTCTGAGGCTCTTAACTGATTAACATTCCATTCTGACATGTTTTACCTCTGCTTCTTCATCTCCACGCCTTGACCCTGGCAGATGGAATGCAATTATATGCTGACCACTTATTCAGTATTCTTGAGATTCCATCCGACAGTCGTCTAAGTGAATAATCAGCGACAAAGTGTTTATATTACCTACATGCTTTAGTATTCGGACTCAGTACAAACTGAACAGGTGAAAGGATCAGTGCAGGACCAAAAAGCACTCAACCGTCTTTTCTTGTTTATTTTCTTCTGATCTCAGTGGGACAGAAAGGGAAATGGAGAGGCGGGCACAGACAGAAAATATTTAGCTCTATGTTAAGTTTTACAATTTGAGGCGCAGACGAGCATCCTTTCTCAATTCGATGCATTCAGCTTCTGACTGTCGTAGTTGTTGCCTAATTCATTCACAAGATTTTCCCTCAGCTAATTATGTAGGTATCGTCTGCGTAATGATGAGTGGCGGCATTGGATTTCAAATATTGTCTGATTCATGTGATCTCAAAATGTTGTTCGTCCATCTTTTTGATGCAGCATAGCTGAAATGGCTGTCTACTTTTTTTTTTAAACTGTCTACATTCAGTCTTTTCCAGTAAATGTCTGTAGATGTGGCCGAGCTTCTTTGTACTACTCTCTCTCTCTCTCTCTCTCTCTCTCTCTCTCTCTCTCTCTCTCTCTCTCTTTTTTTCTTCCCCCCCCCCCGCCCCGAGTGAAGATATGTTCGACGTATTCTTGGCATCTCTTTTTGTTTACTTTTGTGTCATTTAATGTTCTTCCGTTGTTGTCTCTTATCATATTTTGTCGGTGGTAACTCCCTTTCCTATTCCTCCTGGCTGTGGATTTCTTGAAGATGGTTTTAATTGAAACGAATATCTATTAATGTCTCTTCGTTTGAAATGGGCGTCAGTCAATACATTGATTAACTGTTACTATTCTCGTACATTTTCTCCCGAGTGTCAGTTGTACGAGCAACAATCAAACTTGTAAAGGGTTCTTATCGCATTGAGCCCTGAATGGAAGGACTAGTCAGCATGCGCTGCAATATCGGAAATTCAACAACTGATTCTTAACAATTTCCGGTGATGGAATTATCTATGCAGAGAGCTTCGTGTTGAGAGGCAGAGGAAGTGCACAGGGGTTTGTGGCAAAGGCGAATGGACGTTGCTAATGCAACAATGCCTTGCATATGATACCACAACATCGAGTTTGAGAATACAGATGAAGGCAATCACTGCAACCTTCCCTTCGGTTTGAGAACCAACTGTCACGCATGTCGTATTTGTAACCGACTCACAGAGCATGTTGAAAAAGGTGGAGATTGGTATGCTCCATGCAGAGTGGCAAGCTTCACACTTCAGAGGTTATGAAGTTAGCATACTGTCGATATTTTCTCAAGGAATGCGAGTGTGTTGGTCAACAAACAGGCAGACTGACTGGTTCTGCACAAATTGTTTGTGAAATGCATGACAACTGATGCTAGATGTTGTAGTGCTCCTTTGGAAGCGATTGAAAAATACGGAGCCACAAAAAGATATCACGGTCTGGAGAGAATAGTGCTGACAGGAATGTTCAAGGGATGTGGTGGGAGAATAGTGCTGACAGACAGGAATGTTCAAGGGATGTGGTGGGAGAATAGTGCTGACAGACAGAAATGTTCAAGGGATGTGGTGGGAGAATAGTGCTGACAGGAATGTTCAAGGGATGTGGTGGGAGAATAGTGCTGACAGGAATGTTCAAGGGATGTAGTGGAGTGAATAGTGCTGACAGACAGGAATGTTCAAGGGATGTGGTGGGAAAATAGTGCTGACAGAAATGTTCAAGGGATGTGGTGGGAGAATAGTGCTGACAGACAGGAATGTTCAAGGGATGTGGTGGGGAAATAGTGCTGACAGACAGGAATGTTCAAAGGATGTGGTAGGAGAATAGTGCTGACAGACAGGAATGTTCAAGGAATGTGGTGGGAGAATAGTGCTGACAGGAATGTTCAAGGGATGTGGTGGGAGAATAGTGCTGACAGGAATGTTCAAAGGATGTGGTGGGAGAATAGTGCTGACAGGAATGTTCAAGGGATGTGGTCAGAGAATAGTGCTGACAGACAGGAATGTTCAAGGGATGTGGTGGGAGAATAGTGCTGACAGACAGGAATGTTCAAGGGTTGTGGTGGGAGAATAGTGCTGACAGACAGGAATGTTCAAGGGATGTGGTGGGAGAATAGTGCTGACAGACAGGAATGTTCAAGGAATGTGGTGGGAGAATAGTGCTGACAGACAGGAATGTTCAAGGGATGTGGTGGGAGAATAGTGCTGACAGACAGGAATGTTCAAGGGATGTGGTGGAGAGAATAGTGCTGTCAGACAGGAATGTTCAAGAGATGTGGTCGGAGAATAGTGCTGACAGACAGGAATGTTCAAGGGATGTGGTGGAGAGAATAGTGCTGACAGACAGGAATGTTCAAGGGATGTGGTCAGAGAATAGTGCTGACAGACAGGAATGTTCAAGGGATGTGGTGGAGAGAATAGTGCTGACAGACAGGAATGTTCAAGGGATGTGGTGGAGAGAATAGTGCTGACAGACAGGAATGTTGAAGGGATGTGGTGGAGAGAATAGTGCTGACAGACAAGAATGTTCAAGGGATGTGGTCAGAGAATAGTGCTGACAGACAGGAATGTTCAAGGGATGTGGTGGAGAGAATAGTGCTGACAGACAGGAATGTTCAAGGGATGTGGTGGAGAGAATAGTGCTGACAGACAGGAATGTTCAAGGGATGTGGTGGAGAGAATAGTGCTGACAGACAGGAATGTTCAAGGGATGTGGTGGAGAGAATAGTGCTGACAGACAGGAATGTTCAAGGGTTGTGGACAGAGAATAGTGCTGACAGACAGGAATGTTCAAGGGATGTGGTCAGAAAATAGTGCTGACAGACAGGAATGTTCAAGGGAAGTGGTCAGAGAATAGTGCTGACAGACAGGAATGTTCAAGGGATGTGGTGGGAGAATAGTGCTGACAGACAGGAATGTTCAAGGGATGTGGTAGGAGAATAGTGCTGACAGACAGGAATGTTCAAGGCATGTGGTGGGAGAATAGTGCTGACAGGAATGTTCAAGGGATGTGGTGGAGAGAATAGTGCTGACAGACAGGAATGTTCAAGGGATGTGGTGGAGAGAATAGTGCTGACAGACAGGAATGTTCAAGGGATGTGGTGGGAGAATAGTGCTGACAGGAATGTTCAAGGGATGTGGTGGGAGAATAGTGCTGACAGACAGGAATGTTTAAGGGATGTGGTGGGAGAATAGTGCTGACAGACAGGAATGTTTAAGGGATGTGGTGTGAGAATAGTGCTGACAGGAATGTTCAAGGGATGTGGTGGGAGAATAGTGCTGACAGACAGGAATGTTCAAGGGATGTGGTAGGAGAATAGTGCTGACAGACAGGAATGTTCAAGGCATGTGGTGGGAGAATAGTGCTGACAGGAATGTTCAAGGGATGTGGTGGAGAGAATAGTGCTGACAGACAGGAATGTTCAAGGGATGTGGTGGAGAGAATAGTGTTGACAGACAGGAATGTTCAAGGGATGTGGTGGGAGAATAGTGCTGACAGGAATGTTCAAGGGATGTGGTGGGAGAATAGTGCTGACAGACAGGAATGTTCAAGGGATGTGGTGGGAGAATAGTGCTGACAGACAGGAATGTTTAAGGGATGTGGTGTGAGAATAGTGCTGACAGGAATGTTTATGGGATGTGGTGGGAGAATAGTGCTGACAGACAGGAATGTTCAAGGGATGTGGTGGAGAGAATAGTGCTGACAGACAGGAATGTTCAAGGCATGTGGTCGACGCTCAGAGCGCAAGGTTAAGGCGAGGTAGATATACAGCCACTGTTACTGGTGCCATCGGAATGGGACTCTGCACATGCTGCT